TGAGACTTAACCTCAATTTGATTTGTATCATTTGCTTCTGCAAGAAGGTTGTTTGATATTTGAAACCACAACCAGATTAAAAGAGTACAAACAATCCGAATAAGAAATATGTACACCAAATATGTAAACAAACGAGAATGCAGAAGATTAATTAAGAAGGCCTTAATAATTATAAGTTTGAACATAACTATTAAGCCGAAATTACACGCTCCAAGAATATGCAATGAAAGTGTTACATCACCTAGGTGGTGAGGATTGGAGGGAGATAATTAGATTTTTCGCCTAGAACCTTTGCTTTAGTATCCGGAAAGAACTCAGTCCCAGCAAGATTTGTTACCTCCCCATTGCTACTAATGCTAATCGGATAACTAAGTAAATGTCCCGGTAGATCGTGATCTCGAGGGTACACTTGTGCCGAGTACAGTCCCCAGAGCTCATCTGCCTTTGCATTTACCATTCTTATACACTCTTCGCTTTCGGGGCATTGGAACGTGTTGGTTGTAATTCGTAGATGTTCAAGCCATAGTGATATTCTAAATCTGAAAACATGACCGATCGGTCTCATTTGGTTGGTAGATAGCAAGTGGTTAGGTTGGTATGCTCCCATCGCGATCTCCGAGTCTCGACCTCCATCCATAGACCTTTGGTTAATATTGGCTGATCCTATTATTATGTACTCATCATCAACTACATAGAGATAAGGAACCATGTTAAGAGAACTTTCTGATTTGTTTTTAACAAGATTTTGCAATTAGTATATAAACGGACCAGGTCCATGGCCTTTAGGCCCACTATTAGAAAAAACCAAGTTCTGAACTGAATTTTGCTTGTCATGCAAGGTAGGTTTTGACATACCAATCATCATTTTAGAGTGGACATAGATCATGAACCGACGAGATTCTTGAGCTCTTGCATAATCAGAATTAGCCATTGGTTTCTCCGGAGGCAAGTACTCACCGGTCTTCTTAACTTCCCGATTCCCGAGGCAGAAAAAGGTTAGGTAGTCTCTAGGGTTTGCATCTAACCCTTTCTTCTGAAGAGCAATGATGATATCTGTATACATCATCTCCATTGTTCTCCTTTGCCAATCTAGTATTGCTTGGACCGATGCAGAACCAGGTTTTCCTTCAGGCCACAATGGAATCACAATATACACCGAAAACCGATCGCCTGCCTCGATTTTGCTCACGATCTTGAGAGAAATCTCTTTGGGAATTAGGTGTAAAGCATTGATCTCATTCAAATTAATGTCTCTAGAGCTCCATCCAAAGGAGCTTCCAAGAAAATATTGGTTCTCAATGTAGATGAAGTGCTTGGCTCTCCTTATGGCATTAATGTAAGCGTCTTGTATGCTTCTTTCGATCACGTTATCTTTGCCGGTTATAAGTCCTATGCTCGAAGCTTCACGTGGATCCTCTGGGAACCCTTCAACTGCACCATCATCTATTGACCGGAACACTTGAACCGTCCAACCTTCTGTGTTGTCCGATTGTACAATTGGTAGTGGTGGAACCGTGATCTCTGCGAGTCGTGCCATCGATATAAGGTACCTTCTACCATTACCTATAAACAGACAAAATTAGTTTCAAATGATAATGTTTTTAGTTTCAAGAAATGGATTTTGTTTAGCGTTACCAATGTTGCAAACACTAATTTATGCATTTGCATTGTGGTTTTATTTGGAGAATACAATCTTAGAACATGTAAACGCAAAAAGAAACCATTAATCAAGCCTAGTTATTTTTGTTTCAATACCTTGTTTCATCCATCTCTGCTCAAAATTGTACAAAACATCCCAAGCCGCAGGACCATCGAGCTTGCAGTGAATATCATGCCACGGCTCACGTGGACCACCCTTTTTTATCGATGAACCATCGAAATTCGGCTGGTGAAAGTCGTTAGAATGAACATTGTTCAAAGTACCAAACAAAGGATGCTCCTCGGTGTCGTACCTCCCATCACAAAGATCAATCCCTCCAAGAAAACTCACGATCCTTCTCTTGGTTTTCGACCCGTCTACTTCACCGTCCACAACAACGGTTTTCTGATGGTGAGAAAACATTGCAGCGATCTCAAACCCTTGAACAATGCTCCCACCGTTATCCGGATTCCTCGGACAAAGAACGCAACGCACTTTCGTGTTCTTAAAGTAATCGTAAGTGTCTTGATCATGAGTCATCATCAAACCGTCTCTCTTAAACGCTTCGTTAGACGTTCGATCGTCCCACACAAGCATCAGCACGGTCACGTTTTCTTCCGCTTTCCTCTTCAACAAGTCTCCTAGCTTTAGGTCTCCTCCGGGTCTCGACCGTTTAGGATCCCTGATCAATGTTATGTTGGTAGTGACTGACCAACCCGTAATGTATATTAAATGCTTTGCGTTCCATATCGCATCGAAAATATCTTCCCAACAACGATGATGCTTGTAAATCACTTGTCCTCCCGCTAAAGTAATATCCTCAAATTCATCAAGGACATGAGCATCTTGGTAAAGTGTAACATTGCAACCTTCTCTTTGGTTGAAAAATGCGTTAGGAACTCCATTGAAAGAAGGTAATATGATTCCTTTGTTCCAATTCACGTCATGCGTCACGTGATTGAACTTCACTCGGACATGGATTTTCGAACCTCCTTGGATCGGATTCCTGTTCTCGTCTAAGACATCAAGCCATCGGTCTATTGGTTGTCCGGAGATGACTTCGGTGACAGGTAAATAAGCTCGACCGATTAAATTAGCACCGACCGGTTCATTTTCTTTGATTGTGAAAACGATCTTGGAGATGGAATGTGCGGTGTAGACAAGAAAGGATTGGAGCCACTTAGGATGACGTCTCATCATGGTTCGAGCCACCCTAGACCTGTCTAGGTCAATGGTTGCGTAAAGATGTCCTCCTAACAAATCGGTGCATGAGGACGTTAGTCTCTTGAGTTGGGATTGAATCTTCTTCCCCGTCGGTTCCTTCTTCCCCGTCGGCTCCTTATTAAAAAAATATAATTATGTAAAAAAAAAAAAGCTATGTAATTAATCGAAATTTTATTTATATATATATCGATTCTTAAAGGGGTTACCTTGCCGCATAAATTGAATCTTGCACGTTGATGCAACTTATCGATCCTATATATCTTCACTTCAAGAGTTCCATGAAGCAGCAACTGTTCAGCCATTTTTTATCACCTGCAAACTATTTCATTTTCATATTAATTAAATATAGCTAGATTTGAATTATTTTGGTGGGAAGTGG